GCAGGGTATGAACGGTCACGCAACCTTGTATGGTATAGGATTATAGGTTTTGATCTGCACGCACACACACACCGTGGCTCACGGATCAGCTGTCAGCAAGCGTCAAACACGTTGGTTACACTACAGTTGCCTTAAAGCACTACTCCTTTTTTTTATTTGCCCTTTTCCCAAATTGACTTCTGTTTTTTCTTCTCTCAAATTTATCTCACTTCCCTCTCTTTTTTTTTCTCGTCCTCATCCTTTCCCCTTCCTGTACCGAACGAGCATTGTAGAGATGGCGTGATCGAAGGTTGCGTGCATGCGAGTGAATATTAAACATTTAAAGTCAGCCTCAGCCGCTCCTCCCCCCTGTCATTGTCACAGCATCTGATATGAAGCTACAGTGAGACAAATGGCTCACTGAAATCTTGTAGCAGTATCAAACACTGTGTCACGAGTTACTTGTTACTCGTCATGAAGAGGACTTTGTGTCTGAACGTGATTCCTGTTATGCAGTTTGATCCCTGCGAGACGAGAGCAGAATTATTATGTTATTGTTCAGAGTATTTCTAACAATATAATTAAGGCTGTTTCCATTATTCTGTTTACAATTTAGTGTCAACAGTCTGAGTGCAAGTGGATATCTTAACATGCAGTACGTGCATGATCTGCAAAGATTACCTGGAGTTTTGTGGTAATAGTATTGTCAGTAAAAGCCTCCTCGGTACTTTTGACGTAATATGCTTAAGCAGGCTTTGCGTACATGCAGTAAAAGTGGAGAGCAAAAGGGAGCATGCATTTACGGGAAAGCAATCTTGAGAAAGACACTTGAGACTTTTTCAACATTATTATGCAGCACAGTCACCTTAATGCAAGATTGTCCTGGGTTTGAATCCAGTCTGGGGCCTCTCTGTGTGTAGTTTGGATGTTCTCCACGTGGGTTCTTTCCAGGTACTCCAGTGTCCTCCCACAATTCGAAGGCATGCAGTTAGTGGGGTTGGTTTAACTGGTGATTCTAAATTGCCCATAGGTGTGAGTGGTTGTCTGTTTCTATGTGTTAGCCTTGCGACAGGCTGGTGACCAGTTCAGATTGTGTACCCCACCTCTTGACCTGTGGTAGCTGGGATAGGCTCCAGCCCTTCTGCGACCCTCAGTTGGATAAATGGAAGAGAATGGATAGGAGGATAATTATGGTCTTGAAGAGCATAAATGCTCATCTGTCACAGGAGACCCCCAACTGTCATCCATCAACTGTGAACACCAAAAACCTTCAGTGACGGAATAAAGGACTGAATGAAGAAAACATCAAACCAGTTGCTTGAAATGCTGTGAGAGCGCAGGCATCTTGGAGGAGTATGATCATCAATGCCATTTGGGAAGGTACTTAGAAGAAGAAGAAGAAGATTAAAAATGAAAGGAACAGGAAGTCCCAAAACATTAGCCCGTGTCACCAATAAGGCTTTTTGGGGCCAAAGATATTGACCTATTGGCACTCTGCATACACACTATTTATGAATCACAATGGGTTGTTAATAGCATTTACACTTTCTCCTACACTGTAGTTCCTATAGTTCTGCTAAGTAAAAACATAAAAATCGCATTCATTTTCTCACAGTCAAAACAACCTAGCACAGGTGGCCCTGCACTTTTGTATGAAAAACATGTTGCAAATGCAGTTTCCTAGAAACATAAACGCATTGTGTGTGAAGCACCAATGGGAAGTAGGATCTTAATTTGCCTTTTGTAAGTCAAGAGGAAGAAAGTCATTATGTACAACTGCCCCAGTCTGTGCGTGTAAAAACACATCAGTACTGACACACACATGGTAATTGCTCAATAGGACAGTATCAAAATACAATTCTTTAGAAGAATTTATGGGAAGTGTAGTTTATAATGTAGAAATACTAGTTCTGGAGATTGCTAATTATACACTTTCACAGTTATGTAAAAATGTCTAGTTATTTACTAAATACACTAAAACATACAATACTGGACACTTTATAAGATGCATCTTACTAGCACTGAGTTGGAGACTATTTTGCCTTCAGGACTGCCTTCATACTTCATGGCACAGATTCAACAAGCTGCTGGAAACATTCTTCAAATATTTGTTGGCTGCAAATCTATGATGTGAATCTCCTGTTCCACCACATCCCAAAGGTGCTTTTATCGGATTAAAATCTCTTGACCGTAGAGGCAATTTGGATACAGTGAACTCACTGACATGCTCAAGAAACCAGTTTGATATGATCTGAGCTTTGAGTCAATGGACATTGTCCTGCTGGAAGCAGCCATCATTAGATTGGTATACTGGTCAGCCACAGTGCTCAGGTAGGATGTGGTGTGTATTACCAGCAGCCTTAACTCTTGATACAAGGCAGCATGGATCCGTTAGATCGGGAGTTTCTGAAATACTCAGACCAGCCCCAACAACAACCAACAACCAGGCAGAGCATCTCCAAAGTCACTTAAATCATCGCTGTTCCTTATTCTGATGCTCAGGTTGAACTATGAATACGAATTTTATCATATTGTTGTGAGGCTACAGACATTTTCTGTGATTTTGTATAGATTTTAAATTATGTCTGAAATGACCATTTTACGGTCACTTTTTTCCTGTTTTTTTTAACTTTATTATCTCCAAAAACCTAATAATGAAACATAACAAACTGAATAACCACTATTCAGTGTTCTGGATCTGTGGTATAGCTGAATGCTGGCCCTAGACCTTATTTTTGTAAATACATAGTGGATGATGGTGGAAATCATAACAGGATTTCTTGTGCTTTACAGACAAACATAGAATGTGACTATGTGACGCTTACTTGATGTACTAGCATGCACACAAACATGCACAAATGTTTGTACACACTCAAAGTCATCCTACTGGCTGATCCTCGTGTATCCCATAATTCCCTATAAGCTATACTCTCCCCACAGTAAAACAAACACAACCTTCTGGGGGGGATTAGAGGGAGGAATTATGATACTGTAGTTGGCAGTGAGAGAAAGTAGTTCTTTCTTACCAGTATGTGTATTTGTTGCACAAAATCTCAATTCTGTTTGACGTTTGCTTGATCTGGAAAAGTTTTTTCCCCCTCATCCTAAAAAGTATTGGGCAGCAACCAGCTTGTAAACAAAACAAGAGTATCCAAGAAAAACATTTATCCACTGACCAAGTGCACATACTAATATAATTTTTAAAAATCTTGATATTTCATAATTAATATTAATTAACGGACAACCTCTAAAATACTTTGGTCGCATGTAAAATACTATCACTGATGCTTCAGATTGTGGAGTGATCAGCCATCATAGTGGTTTACATCCATCTTTCATATACAGTCTACACTAACATTTACTTTTAAGTATGAAGCGCGTATCATAAAAGTTCCCATGGTGTCCCAGGACCCAAAGGTTCGACTTTGGCCAGTTTACCAAATAGCCGAATTGTTTCCGGAGTATCAGTTTCTGTCATTTCTGATATTACTTTCATTTTTAGTTTCAGTGCTGCAATTGTTTGTCTGGTGGATTTCCTCCATTCTTGATGCTAAATTGTTGTGTCCCATTATCAGCAACCACTTGAATTCTGAGTTTGGCCTTAAAGCCACTTATTATTTACTCTTTAAATCTGACTGATTTTTGGACAAGCAAAAAATCCAAATACCACATACTGCACTTCTACAGTCACGTTCAAAGGAAGCAACGCTGAATGAATACCTATGATAATTTTAGTAGATGAGCATAAATATTCAGGGAGTACTTTAAACCATATGTGCCAAGTAAATACAATTAACTGCCTGGATGGACTGGAGTCCAGCTCTTCTGGGAATCCCACAGGGTTGGGATCTAACCACAGCTTTTAGGTTACATCTCTTTCCCCTCATGTCCACTG